CCCTCGCCCGGTGCTCGAACAGGAAGTCGGCCAGAGTGTACACCTGCGTCCCGTCGGACAGAATCTCGATCATCTTCACAGGGACGTCGTTAATGGTCAGTTTCCCTACGAAGGAGAAGCGCGTGGTTGGTCAATAGGAAAATGGGGGAAATGAACACGGCATTGAGTATGTTCGTGTTACAAGTATATTATTTTCACTCGTGTTGAGGATGATGCTGAAGAGGGAAAATCATACGAGACAAATTAAGCACAAATATGAATGATTTAATGCCCGAGTGTAGTGTCTATTCATACTGAAGAGAAAGGTAACATTGAAACAATTAATATCATACGAGACAAAATAAACATGAAAGGAATAACTTAACATACAAATGTAGCATTTCATCATTCTGGAGATAAAGATAACATTGAAAAAAATAACAATAATAATACGAGACAAAAGTAAACACAAAATAAAGAAAGATGAAAATAACTGACGAAACAGGAGTACCCCCATACACAACCACGACATCCACAAAGACAACCCACACAAACACAGAATCCAAAACAACAACAACAACAACAACCTTCAGAATCCGCTGCGAAGGACAGCTGGTGCCCGGCGAGGTTCGTGACGCTAATGCCCCCCTGAGAGCTGATGTTGGGATCCTGCACGTTGATAGGATCCCGGACGAGGTAATCCAGCAGGAACTCGTTCCGGAGGGCCACGTTCTTCGGGGCGTCGTCGTAGAGGGGGTGAGGGGCGTCTTGGGGAACGAGGTTGCCCATCTCAAGGAAGTCGGGAGATAGGATGGTCTTGGGGACTAAAAAGGGGGGGGGAGAGAAAAGGGGCGTTGTGGTCTGGGTTTAGAAAGGGTGTTCTAAGGAAAATGCTTTTTGGTAGAAAAAAAAAATACTGCAGTGATAATACTTTATGCATCTATTATGGTCTAGAAAACTGCAGTGAAAATATTTAAAAAAAAAAAAAAAAAAAAAAAAAAAAAAAAAAAAAAAAAAAAAAAAAAAACTGCAGTGATAATACTTTATGCATTTATTATGGTCTAAAAAACTGCAGTGAAAATATTTTATGCATTTATTGTAGTCCAATGAACTGTAGTGATAACATTTTATGCATTTATTATGGTCCAAAAAACTAGTGAAAATATTTTGTGCATAAAAAAACACACTGTGATGAAAAAAAGAAAATCCACTCTAATCAAAATACTTCACGATTAAAGATACACTGCCATGAAAATACTTCACATATAAAAACTCCCACTTGAAGAAAATCCTTCATGATAGGATAGAAAAAAAATCCTACAATCCTAGGAGACGAAACCTATCCCAGTAATACCTGTGTCTTCCTTGAGCGCCAGAGAGGGTTCCTGCTCCCTGAGGGCATGGCGCCAGAGACTGAGGAGTGAAGACGAGTCCTCAGCATCCACCTGGTGAGGAATCCTTGGCAGGGGCGTGTCCAGGAAGTCCTTCGTAGGAGTAGGAGGCGCAGGGATGTCTGTGGGTGGAGTTTGGAGGAGAGAGAATGCTTTGAGAAGGATTGTAGGTCGGTGGCAAAATAGGGATTACTGAAAATGCTGGAAATATAATAAAATGGCTGTAATTGCAATCCGTCCATTACATGGTTTATTATTCATTACATTAGCCATCGGGGGGGAAAAAGGAGAAATTTGTTTTGTGAACATATGCTTTAGAAAATTTGATTTCTGATGCTGAAAAAAATCAGGTCACTTCAAAACATGAGCGAAGTGACCATTCCAACGGTGACGCAATCGAAGTGAACCACGAGTATGTATTGTCTTCATCACATGAGCTGAACGACGCACACAGATCTATTACATCATCAGGACTGAACTACGCATTTAGATATACAAGCAACTTAATCATCTAAACTAAACTACACATACGAATCGAACAGCCATTCATCATATCATCCACGTTCAACCACGCTCATGAACCGAGAAGCCACTTTTAAACCACCTAATTTAAACCACGACCTACAAATCAAACACATAAACTAATCTGCATAATGCAATCCACATAACCTCATCCGCATAAACTAATCCACATCATCCAATCCGCATAATCTTATCCAACCCAATCTAATCCACATAACCTCATCCGCATAAACTAATCCACATCATCCAATCCGCATAAACTAATCCACATCATCCAATCCACATAATCTTATCCAACCCAATCTAATCCACATAACCTCATCCGCATAAACTAATCCACATCATCCAATCCACATAATCTTATCCAACCCAATCTAATCCACATAACCTCATCCGCATAAACTAATCCACATCATCCAATCCACATAATCTTATCCAACCCAATCTAATCACATAACCTCATCCGCATAAACTAATCCACATCATCCAATCCACATAATCTTATCCAACCCAATCTAATCCACATAACCTCATCCGCATAACTAATCCAGAATCTAATCCACATAACCTCATCCGCATAAACTAATCCACATCATCCAATCCACATAATCTTATCCAACCCAATCTAATCCACATAACCTCATCCGCATAAACTAATCCACATCATCCAATCCACATAATCTTATCCAACCCATCTAATCCACATAACCTCATCCGCATAAACTAATCCACATCATCCAATCCACATAATCTTATCCAACCCCAATCTAATCCACATAACCTCATCCGCATAAACTAATCCACATCATCCAATCCATAATCTTATCCAATCTAATCCACATAACCTCATCCGCATAAACTAATCCACATAATCCATCCAACCCAATCTAATCCACATAACTCATCCGCATAAACTAATCCACATCATCCAATCCAATAATCTTATCCAACCCAATCTAATCCACATAACCTCATCCGCATAAACTAATCCACATCATCCAATCCACATAATCTTATCCAACCCAATCTAATCCACATAACCTCATCCGCATAAACTAATCCACATCATCCAATCCACATAATCTTATCCAACCCTATCTAATCCACATAACCTCATCCGCATAACTAATCCACATCATCCAATCCACATAATCTTATCCAACCCAATCTAATCCACATAACCTCATCCGCATAACCCACAATCTCCTTATCCAACCCATCTAATCCACATAACCTCATCCGCATAAACTAATCCACATCATCCAATCCACATAATCTTATCCAACCCAATCTAATCCACATACCTCATCCGCATAAACAATCCACATCATGCATAAACTAATCCACATCATCCAATCCACATAATCTTATCCAACCCAATCTAATCCACATAACCTCATCCGCATAAACTAATCCACATCATCCAATCCACATAATCTTATCCAACCCAATCTAATCCACATAACCTCATCCGCATGCACTAATCCAACCCAATCTAATCCACATAACATCCTCATAAACTAATCCACATAATCTAAACCAAAACAATCAAATCCACATAATCCACACCCACCCAAGGGCTCTCCAAGTGGACCAAACTCGGCAGGCTGGCTGACGAGGTGGAAGAAGGCCTCATCCACTCGAGCTTTGTGGTGGAAGAGCAGATCCTCCACCGTGTACACCTGCGTGCCGTCTTCGAGGATCTCCACCATCTCCACAGGGACCCCGTTGATGCTGATCTTGCCTGAGGAGTCGAGGAGTTAGTTATTATTGTTATCATTATCATTTATTATCACTACTATTACTATTACTTTGTTTCCTTTTATTATAATCAAATTACTATTATCATTATTATCATTACTAATATAATTATCATTTTCAACATTATCATTCTCATTATCATCATTACTGTTACTATTATCATTATAATTACTAATATCATCATTATCATTATCATTACTACCATCATTGTCTTTATCATCATTAGAAGTATTATACTACTGATATATTCATTAGCACGCTGAAAGATGGAACAGAATTTCATTTTTTTTCTGACAGATAATACGATGAATAATAATCCTCGTGCCAGAATTGAAATAAAGAATGAAAAATAAATCTACATATATCATCACCTAACACATCTGACATCGTTCAGGAAAAGCTATTGATATACGCGTGGCCCGTACCTATGAATATCTATAAATACGAACATATACACAGAAATAGATACATATCTATCTATTTAATAAATATATATCCACTTATCTATTCGGTAGATATGCAAGTCTAACGATAGATATGCATATATTTCCGAGTATATCCATGTCCGTAGATGTGGATACTTACTGGGTCTTGCCTCGCACAATTTAAAAAACCGGCCACTAGTGTCGTCTTTTCCGCATGCACGTACCTTGAGGATCGGCAGCAAAGGTTAACTTCTTCCCGGCAAGGTTGGTCACACTGATTCCTTCGGGCGAGGATATTTCGGGATCTTGGACGTTGATCGGGTCCTGGACCAGGTAGTCGAGCAGGAATTCCGTTCGTAGGAGCACGTTCTCGGGGGCGTCGTCGTACAGCGGGTGAGGGGCGTCTTGGGGCACCAGGTTCATGACGATGAAGTAGTCTGGAGAAATGAGGGTCTTCGGCTCTGTGGGAGAAGAGATTTGGTATGAGTTAATTTGTGAAATATTGTATATTTATTTTTTAATCTGTGAAATACTTTATATTAATCTCCTAATCTGTGAAATACTTTAAGTTCATTTGTTAATCTTTGAAATACTTTATATTCATCTGCTAGTCTGTGAAATACTTTAACTTCATTTGTTAATGTGGAATACTTTATGGTCATTTGTTAATATGTGATGTGCTTTATATTTATATGTAGGTAAACTTTCAAATAAGTCGTAGAACTTATTTGAAAGTTAAACTAGATGGTGCAAGATAAGCCTACCTCTATTATCCCTGAGTGTAGCTGCGGCGTCCTGATGCCTTAGAGCGTGACGCCATAAGTTCAGGAGTGAAGAGGACTCTCCTTCTTCGACAAGCTGTGGAATTTGGGGGACTGTCAGGAGAGGCTCTGTAAGACCTGTGGATTCTTCGGATGCGAAAGTCTGTCCTGTTGTGTCCTGCTCTTCTGTGTGATGCTGTGGTATATCTGTGGTATTAACAATATCTTCAGGAGGATTTAGGTTTTCGGTTCCTGTGGAAATTTCTTCTACTTCCAATGCCTTGTCTGTAGTGAAACCTGGTTCTTTAGCTGGGACTGGCTCTGCAGGAATCGTTACTTCGTTAAAGGATGAGTCCTTAGAAACCACGGCTTTTGCGACAGCAACTGGTAAGCTGGTCGTACTTGGGGCATCCGTTGCTGAATATGTGTTTATTTCTTCTTTCTTCGTGGCTTCTGATGTTTCACTTGTACTTGTTGTCACTTCAGGAACAGATGCCAGCTCTTGAAGAATATAAATTCAATTTATTTTTGGGACATATTCCATGTACACAGAAACAAATGTAAGGGGGGATGGAAAGTGGAATGACCGGTGGATTAAAAGATAGAAAGATAATTCAGAGGAAAATTTTCTAAGCATCTATCAGTGAATAAACTAAACATATGCCAGTAGGTTACAACAGAGCATAAAAAAAACTCAAATTCCTCTTTAAAGTTACCATGTTCCTGGAAGAATAATCCTTCATCATTTCTTGGAAGTGTTTGAAGGATCTCGTCAATCACTTGGCGGTGATCGAACAAGAAGTCTGAGAGGGTGAAGACCACCGTCCCATCGGATAAGATATTGAAGTCTTCAACTAATACTCCATTGACAGTCAGATTGTCTGGAAATGATTGCTTTCTTACATGTGTGGATTTAGCATTGGCTATCCAAGCCTTATAATGTTATATATTAGACAGAAAACGTCATTCTCAAGGCCTGCATTGCATAAATGTTTATGTAAGACACAAACCATTAGTATCCACGTAGAATACGAGTTCTTTCCCGCCTAGGTTGGAAACAGCAAGTCCTTCAGGTTGTATCATTCTAGGATCCTGGAAGTCGAAGGGCTCCAAGACCAGGTAGTCTAAGAGGAATTCTTTACGAAGAGCTGCTACTTCAGGTGTGTCCCCATACAATGGATGTGGGGCATCTTGGGGTACTAAGTTTACCATTGTGAAGTAATCAGGAGACAAAATAGTACTAGGTACACCTGAAATGAAAATAGAATTTAAGACTATTCAACCGCAAATTAAGACATTTATGTCAAACTTTAGCCAAGTAAAATCTATTGGATACAAGATTATGAAATGCTCTCTACCTGTTACAGCTCCTGATGAGTTGGTTTCACTGTGGCTGAGAGCTTCCTTCCACACATCTAGCAAAGCAATGTTGACTTCTTCTGTGGCCACAGGTATTTGTGGGATAACATTTTGTTGACTCTCTGCCAGAAGGACGTCCTCCGAGTCGACACTTTTAACTATTGTGTTTTGGGGCAGGATATGTTCTCTTCCTGCAATGTCCAGAGAGTGACCGAGTTCCTCCGGTGTGTCTTTGGTCTCATTAGCATTTCCGAGCTGGGTCTCTGTCTCAACTGTAACACCATCATGAGTGTTGTCAGTTACTATAGACTCCAGAGGTGAGAGATTCGTAACATATTCAACTTGAGGGATTTCTGGGAGGGTTTCTAAAGGTGCCTCAGTTACAATCTTAGTCTTGGGATGATATTCTGCAGAACCCACATGTGGAATTTCTGTTCTTGGAATAATATTTTCGTGACTATCAAATGACAACTCAGTATCTAATAAAGCCGTTGTTGGGAGTTCTGTCTCTAGTACAGCATCGGAGATCCTCGGATGTTCATGCACAGAGTCAGTTTCATTCTCCAGCGTGAAGTCCTGAGATAGTTCGTCCATAGATTCTGTTGTTGGAGGAGGCTTTTGCAGAGATTTGAACAAGGTTTCGGTAATCGGTTCTGGTTCTACTGACGATACCTCAAATGGTATCTCTGTAATGGGAAGTGCATGTGATGTGAGATCTGTCTGTTCCTCTCGTTCTTTTACAGGATCAGGAGACGCGGTTTCGAAAAGGATTTCTGTTTGTGGATTAAAGTCCTCAGGAGCTATTTCTACCGTTGACCCTGTTGCTGGAATAACCACTGGTGACTCAGTGTGGGTTTTTGATCTTTGTTCAAGATCCGCGGACGAAGACTTGCTTGAAATAGATATTACGGGACTGGCTTCTTCTGTGGATGGGTCCCACACAGCCTCTGTTGCTGGAACTACGTCAACCAAAGCAGACTCAAACATTTCTGTGGCACCTTCAGGTTCCACTTGGCTTACGAACACAGAATCTGTCACAGGTATGGGTTCTTCTGGCGATGGCTCGTAGACAAAATCTGTGACAGGATCCGCTTCAGCTGTCGAGGCTTTTGCCGGGATTTCCGTCTGCGGCGCCGGTTCCTCTTCTGCCGAAGGACCAAACAGAGACTCTGTTGCCGACTTTGGCTCCACATCGTTGGTATCTTTAGGTGGCGCCGTCTTCTCGAACGCCGACTCGGTCTTCGTGGCCGCAACGGGCTTATCCGAGAGAGAGGACATTGAGAATTTCGTTAGCGTGATGGAAGTCACCGGGGCTGAGATCTCCGACGATATTTCCGTGACTTCGCTAACCACCACGAGGGGCTTAGGGACCTCAGCTTCCGGTAGAGGGCGAGGCACTTGAGACGCTGTTTCCACGGCTTCGTTCTTTTGTTCTTGAATCCTGGTGTGATGGTCAGCCACTGGGGAGTGATAAAGGCGTTTTGTTACTTATTATTGACTTCAATATTGCCAAGTTAATGTGTAATCATTCTATTTGTTACAAATATATTTTCTCTTACTTGCACTTTTTTTTAGCTTAATGTCCATCCATAAAAAAATAATAATAATAAAAATAAAGAAATCACACTCATATTAAATGAAGGCATGATAATAAAACATAACATACATGTCGATCTTAAATATAACACTAAATATAATTTGACTAATGGAACAAAATACAGTATTATTATCTGATGACACTACAACAGCGACACCAACAATAAAACACTAAACGAATACAGCCTTTCAACAACCAACCAACTTCTTCCCTTGCAAGAAAGTTCCCTCCGACCACAAGAATCTCACCTCGTCCTTCTACGTCGCTTCTCCCTCCTCCCTCCCTCCCTCCCTCCCTCCCTCCTCCCTCCTCCTCCTCCTCCTCCCCTCATACTCACCCAGATGCCTTCCTTGCGGTTGGAGACGATTCGCTTGTTGGCTCAAGAACCTGAAGGCTTCATCGAGACGCCCTTTGTGCTCCTCGAGGAAGCGCTCCAACGTGTACACTTCGGTGCCATCAGGAAGGGTTTGCACGCCCTCTACCGGCGCTCCGTTGAGGTTCACGAGGCCTGGAAAGGGAGTTGGGTTGAAGGCTCTGGAGGGTTGGATTCCATTGAAAGGTTTAGATTCCGTTATAGCAAGTCTCTGGAGGGTTGGATTCCACTGAAGGGTTAGATTCCGTTATAGCAAGTCTATGCAGGTTGGATTAGGGTATTGGCAGATTATGCGACCTTGCTATTGTGCATAGGCGAGTTTTTAAAGTTTACCGGTGACTGAGTGGCCAAAAAAGTGCATGAGATGGACGTAAACAGTATCTATCAATATTTGGTAGTAATATGAAAAACTGCATTTCAAAAATACAAATAATCATAATGATACATAAACGCCATAAAAATAGGAAAAGGGGAACAGAAAAGAATCCAGAAAGAAAGAAAAATAAAGGGAAATAAAAGTAAGAGCAAAAAAGGACAAGGAAAAATTCCATATCGTTAACAAAAGATCAAAGAGACAAAAGGAAGGAAAAAAGAGAAAACTAGAAAGAAAAAAGAAAAAGAAAAACTAAACAAAAAAGAAAAGAAAAAAAAATCATATTTATTATATATATATACACACACACGTGTGTGTGTGTGTACAGACCCAGATAGATCGATATATATGGATAGTTAGATAGAGATAGAGAGACCATAGAGATATATCCAGACAGACCGACCAGACTCGCCAAACCCCGAACTCCGCCTACCGCCCGTCTCCTTGGTGAAGGTCAGCGCGTTCCCCGAGTGACTGAGCAGCGTCAGCCCGTCGGGAGAGGTCATCCTCGGGTCCTCAGCGTCCAGGGTCTCGAGCTCCAGGTACTCCAGAAGGCCCTCCATGTGGTCCTCGTCCTCGTCCTCCTCCTTCGCCGCCTTCGCCGTCTCTTCCTTCTCCTCCTCCGCCAGGGTGATGTTCTTCCTTAAGGTTTCTGGGTCTGGTGAGGAGGAGGAAGAGAGAAGAGAAGAATGAGAGAAATGGATAATATATTAAAGTATAATTGGATTAATTGGGTGATTAAATGGGATGGGTTGTCATTAGGGAGATTGGTGCAGGTTGGTGAGAAAATTCGGTTCACGGATTCGGACGCGTGGATAGGCCTACATTTGCCAGGTTCTTCAATGCCACATATACAGGTAAGGAACAGTATAATGACTAAAATTATCTTTCACTTACTATATATACTCTTACGTGACTGCATTCCAAACAGTTTACAACAAACTGACAAACAGAATAACAGAAAAAAATGAATAAACAAATGGACAAATCATTACAAAAACAAAACATTTAATATCTTTTCTTTTATTCTCCATTAACTTCCTAAAATTATCAATTATTCTTTTCTTCTTTTTTTGTGAGGGAATGTAAGAACCTACTTTCAAGGTTTTCTCTTAAATTTCCTAAATACTGAAATATTATCTCATGTTTCTTCGTCCTTTTCTTACGTTCATTCCTAGCTCACTAATGTCTTATCTTTTACTTACCCAATACTGAAGTTTTTCTCTCTCTCTCTATCTCCCTTCCTCTCTCTCTCTCTCTCTCTCTCCCTCCTCCCCACCCTCTCTCTCTTTCTCTCTTACATTCATCTCCAACTCACCGAGAACCTGCAGGCGGCGGGAGGAGGGCGCCTCCTGGTGGCGTGCCCGAGCGAGGACGTCAGCCAGGGAAGCGGTGGGCAGGGAGGAGGCGCCGTGGAGGGCCACCGCCGTCAGGAGCAGCAGCGCCCCGAACTGTCCGCCTGAAAGAGGGAGTTGGGAGCGTTAGGAAAGGGGAAGGTTACCGATTATTGTTATTTTTGTAATTATTCTTTTTTTTCGTTCTTATTGATGTTGTGTCTTCATGGTTTTCTTCTGATGCAGTTTTTATTTAATTTAATGGTCGTCTTTCCTCTATATCATACTACTACTACAAATTTTATTTATATTACTACTGCAATAGTTTTTACTACTATCACTGTTAATATTGCTACTACTACTACTACTACTACTAATACTACTACTACTACTACTACTACTACTACTACTACTACTACTACTACTACTACTACTACTACTACTACTACTACTACTACTACTACTACTACTCCTGCTGCTACTACTACTACTACTACTACTACTACTACTCCTGCTGCTACTACTACTACTACTACTACTACTACTACTACTACTACTACTACTACTACTACTACTACTACTACTACTACTCCTGCTGCTACTACTATTATTGCTGCCACTGACATTCTTAACTGCTTGTTTTTACCGGTCAAGAGTCATGAGTGAGCCCTACAATGTTCCTGATTCATTCACCTTTCGTTCGAGAGATTTTTTTCCTTAATTTTTCTCTTTTTTTCTTCTTTATTCTTCCTCTTCATCTTGTGCGCGCGCGCGCGTGTGTGTGTGTGTGTGTGTGTGTGTGTGTGTGTGTGTGTGTGGTGTGTGTGTGTGTGTGTGTGTGTGTGTGTGTGTGTGTGTGTGTGGTGTGTGTGTGTGTGTGTGTGTGTGTGTGTGTGTGTGTGTGTGTGTGTGTGTGTGTGTGTGTGTGTGTGTGTGTGTGTGTGTGTGTGTGTGTGTGTGTGTGTGTGTGTGTGTGTGTGTGTGTGTGTGTGTGTGTGTGTGTGTGTGTGTGTTGTGTGTGTGTGTGTGTATGTGTGTGTGTGTGTGTGTGTGTGTGTGTGTGTGTGTGTGTGTGTGTGTTGTGTGTGTGTGTGTGTGTGTGTGTGCGTGTGTGTGCATGCGTGTGTGTGCGTGTGTGCGTGCGTGCATGTGTTTCTGTGTGTATTACCGTTTGTATGATCTTACAAAAAACACATGCCCAAGAGCTATTATACATAAACAAGAGAATAAAGATGAAAAGAAAAGAACAAGTAAAGAAGGAAGGAATGTAATAACATGATAATAACACCAGTGATCACAACAACAACAAAATAAATACAATTTATTCCCAAAATAAAAGTCCCACGCCGATATCCAACCTGCTCACATGCTGCAACGGCAATAAAAGTAATTAACAATGACAGTGACAAGACTCGATCTCCTTAATACAAGTAGAAGGCGATCAAGAAGCGAAATAACGGATTGAACCGCCTTTGTCCAAGATAATCACAAACTATTTCGCCGCTTTGATTTCAATATTTATTTTCTTCTTGACATTACACCGAAACAGGGACAATGATTTGCCGCTTTGATTTTATTTATTCGTTTATTTTTCTTTCTTTTTAATGTTACACCGAAGTACAATGAACCTGGGACAAATACATAAAAAAAAACGGAAATAAGAGAAAGAGAACGAAGAAGAAGAAGAAGAAGAAAGAAAGAAAGAAAGAAAGAAAAAACATAATCAAAAGAGCAACTGGAGAAACCGTTCATTTGTGGAAAAGGTCATGGCGGGGGCGTGGCTAAGATCACGTGACCTTGACGAACGGCGCCATTGATCTAGTTATCCTCATTTTCGAAAATCAATCGAAAGTTGAGGTCTGTGGTTTTGGGGTTAAACAGTGAAGCACTCGGTTGTGGTTTATGAATGAGTTTTTGTGTTGTTATTTGGGTTATTTGATGTTCCCCGTGAATTTCCGTTTTCTTTTTCGCGTTCAAATTCCATGTGTTTATTGTATTTTTCCTGACTTGACTTTTTCCTGTTTTCTTGCTTGATTTAAATCCCTGTCGTTTTTTTCTATCGGCTGTTAATTCTTCCTTCCTTTTATTTTTCTTTCTTTCTTGTTTAGGTTCTCTCGATTCTTCTTGTTTACGTTCTGATCCATATATATATATATTATAATTTTATATATTTCTCTTTCCTTCATCCTTCTCTCTTTGCAAGTTTTGCAGAATGAGTGTCTATATTCCTAATGTTGTAAATCTTAAATAGAAAAATAAATAAATATCGAAAAATATTTGTTGACATAATATTACTTTTTATATTTTTTATGACGTCACTGTGTTATGGCGTCACATTTTCATGACGTCACTCAGCGCTATCTAAACAGCAGAATATTTAATTGTTTGTTGAGGTTTTAAGATTTCAAATGAGTTTTGCTGCATGTAAGGAAAAAAATATAATAGTAATGATGATGACATTGGTGCCACGGTAATGTAATCTTGATGGTGATGAAAATAACCATTACCTTTGTTGTTATTGATATTACTATTGTTATTATCATTATAATTATTGTTATCTTGATCTTATCATTATCATTATCGTTGTCATTATTATCATTATTGTTAATATTGTTATTATTATTATTATCAACGTCATCATTATCATTGTCATTATCATTATCATCATCCTTACCATTATTATTATTAATATGATTATTGTTATCATTATCATTATCATTATTATAATAATGGTTACCATTACTGGTATTGAAATTGTCATTATCATTATGATTATCATCATTATCATTATCACTGTCATCATTCTTATTATCATTATTGTTACAATTATCATTATTATTATTATTATCATTGCCATTATCATTATTATTATTATCATTATTATTATTATTATATTATTATTATTATTATCATTATCATTATTATTATTATCATTATTATCACTATTATTCTTATCATCATTATTATTACTGTTATTATTATAATTACCATTATTATTATTGTTATTATCATTATCATTATTATTATCATCATTATTTTTGCCATTAATTTCTTATTACTATAATATTATCATTGTTACTATCATTATTATTATCATTATTGTTACTATCATCATCATCATCATCATTATTATCATTGTCAATATCATTATTATCATCATCATTACTGCTATCATTATTATTATTATTGTTATCATTATTATTATCATTATCATTATTATTGTTATCATCATCATCACCTTCATCATCCTTGTTATCACCATTATCTTCACTATCATTATTATCATCGTTAATATCATTAACATTAATGAACATGATACTTATAACAATAATAACAGCACTATGTCAATAGCACTAATCATTACTAATAGCACTGATGATTAATGTTGACTGTAATGTATGTATGGTCAATAAAACCAACAATTAATAACACTAATCTTAATAACAGCGAGACTAATGATGTCAATAATATGATAACAGTGATGATGACACAAAGAAGAAAAAACATCAACAACAAAACAATAAAAAGATGATAATGATTGTTATTGATATCAGTATGATGGTGAGTATTATCATTATCATCACGATAATACTAATGATTATTATAATCATCATTATGATGATAATAATAGTAATGATAATGATACTAGTAATGATAATAATGATAACAATAATGATAATGATAATAATAATAATAATAATAATAATAATAATAATAATAATAATAATAATAAATAATGATATGATAATAATAATGATAATAATGATGATGATGCGAATAATGATACGAATAATGATGATGATGATGATAACAACATCAACTATAATCATCATCATCATTGTAATGATAATAATAATGATAATAAGAAAGTGATATTAGTAAACAGGAAAATGCATAAGCAATTCGTAGAAAGGCAAAAAAGCAGTGACGAGTGTCGTATTTCGCGAAGGATACCGTGTCCACTTTTGCAAAACGAAATTGTGAAATACTTCCGTTACCCTTCGAAATTTTTCATCTGACAACGAACCTAAAACACATTTCATTCATTAAAAAATAATGACCCTCGTACCAAGAATATACATTCATTCACGTAACCCGACACACAAACGAACAAAAACAGAAAGGAAAAAAAATATACATATAAAAAAAACATTCTTAAAAGGTTAATGAGAGCCGTTTACCCTCCCGCCATTTAAACAGACGGTAACACTTTTTCCCCCGTTATTTCTCTGACATGTAATCTCTCATCTGACCTATCACACCTCGCTACACTCCGCACACTTAGTCATTCAACCATGAGCAAGTCCACTTCTTGTCAACAGTCTCTGGTGTTGCAATAGGACGCGAAAGCAGTTGCAGGGATAGTGTATATAAAGACGACGACACTTCAGTACTCGTTAACCAGCTGATGGCCTTTCGAACTGTTGTTATTGTTGCTGTGGTTGTGGTTGACTGTGGTGGTGCTGTTGTGGTTGTTGCGCTTTTGTTAGTGGGTTTGTTATTGTTGTTAGTGTTACTGTTGTCGTTGTTGCGCTTTATGATGAAAAAAACTGTAGTCATTGTTTCGTGTTTAAGCTCAGGGATCTAGGTTTAAACGCTCGACTTTTTTTTTTTTTTTTTTTTTTTTTTTTTTTTTTTTTTTTTTGTAATCGGAGAAGGGCTTTGAGACTGTGACTGACTCACGTAATGTTAAGGTCAGGAACAATTTCTATAATTTCTCTTCGGTATTTATTTCCTATGCGCATATATACCAAACAAGCAAACTCTACATGCAGTAGGAATTTCATGCATATTATATATATATATATATATATATATATATATATATATATATATATATATATATATATATATATGTGTGTGTGTGTGTGTGTGTGTGTGTGTGTGTGTGTGTGTGTGTGTGTGTGTGTGTGTGTGTGTGTGTGTGTGTGTGTGTGTGTGAAAAGGAAATAGCCGGAGATGAAAATAAATCGTTACGTTTCGAACACTTCACGGCATCCTCTCCAGACGAATAAGTAACCGAACTGGGTACATGGATATTTTTTTTTACAAGATTATATAGTGATAGAGAGGCAGAACGAACAAGACCCTGAATCAGGTCTCGAGAGGAGGGTCAAGGTCGAAG